GTAATTATATTTTATTAATTTTTAAATTTGTAAAATTTTCCCCGTTATTTATACTCAATTCCATTTGCATTGTAGAATTTGAGAAAAAAAGAAAACGTGCATTTCACAAAAATATGGAAAAAGCTACGTGCTTTGTCGATATACTTATATAGTTTTAGTGGTTGTTTTACTTAAACTCTACAGCTGAGTTTCCCATATAATACACAGATTTCATATTTTATAGTACTATATATATTCTGAACAGAAGGTATTCAATTAGGCAACTAATTGCAATTATAACCTACAATGAACTATTAACAACTGTATATCTTGTAACCACAGTGACTGCTTGAAATTGTAAACCGCACTGAGTTTACTGAGTCTATAACAGGTGACTCCAACAATTGGACTCAACTCAAAATCTGCTGATGATATGTGTCTAAATTTCTAATTCATTCAACATGAGGTCAACCATCTGTTGTTGCTTGTGTTGAGAGGTTCCGAAAAATATACCTTTTTATTTTTTAAGCTTCTCATATATTGTTCCATTAGTTTTTCACACAATATACCATTGTTTCATAATATTTCACTAATAATAAAGTTCTTATAATAAATAAATATTAAATACATTAGTATTTATATTGTAGTAATATTATAATATATACTATTATTATATACATGGTAAATTAGGACGAATGACATCCTCACGGACCTCAAGATTGTTCCGATCAAAAAATGCATAAAGGATAGAGCCCTGAAATTATTTGCGAAAACTGACAGACTTACCAACACCGCGTTATCAAATCTCAGAATGGTTACAGGCTCCTCGGGGAGATAGTCAGATCTGAGGTTAATTATTGCTTAGTCTGATGAAGTGATAAATAATAATCCAGTCAAGACGTAAAAAGGGTTTTTGAAAATACCTCGAGTTAAGAAAGAGTAAAAGTGCTCAAGTGCACTGACTCAAAGAGCATCAACACAATATATTTAATTTTTATATTATATCCCGATGAGACCGGTAATGGTATGGTTATTGTTTCTGGGTTAGGCTAAGACTTTAATGCACTACGACCAGCTTGCACCTCTTTGTATTTAGACATTTAGTATCTCGGGGAATCGAACTAACTCTTTCAGAGGGAATTTTTGAAGATCTCATCCTCCAGTTAGTATGTACTTTAAATTTTGTGTCTTCTATGGCCTAGTGTATGGCCTTGGTGATCAGATGTTGCATTGAGGCTTTCTCATCACAGCAGAATCTGCAAATATTTGCGTCGGATATACTCATTTTGTGTTTATTGCAGGCGACATAGCCTGTTAGTTCATCAGAGAGTGACTTTAGACTCTTAATGTTTATTTTCAGAAGTATGTTTGCTCTTTTAGGAGACCAGTAATAGTTAAGATGCCCCGCTATGAGAACATCAGTTTACTATATCTTTTACTTTATTATATATACAGATATTTTATTTCATAAGATTTACTAGGACAAATAGAAGTAATGATTAAATTTAATTACAGTGGACGTCCAATATAACGAATTTTATGTTGCACCCCTTGTTCGTTATATCGAAAAATTCGTAATATCGAATGTTATACATTTACCTACCAATATGGTTATTTTTAGGAGATTTCATATATTTGAGTTCATAAATTAACTTATAAACACGTACGAGTATATATTTATTTAAAAGTATTTTTTATTGGGTTGTTACAAAAATTATTTATAAGAAAGGACGCATTCAATCATAGTGTAGAGTAAAAAAAATCATTAATTTTTGTTTGTTTTTTACTACACTCAAGACTTTTCTGAACAGCTTTTTCTTGTAGTTCTCTTAGTACAGCTAATTTTGAAGTTTCATTATTGTTAATCGCGCACTTTATGCATTTTTCGAAATGATTTATGGCATCTTTATGTTTAATAATTTCTAAATTATTTTCTTCTATATTTTCGTCATCAGATCCATCATCCTCGTCCGAGACATCGATGGTATTATCAGCATTATTCCATTTATTAAATTCGTATGTACTAATGTCACACTAACAATAAAATTGAAAATATAATATAGGATATTATATGTATGTCTAGATAGTATTTCGTATATGATAAACTGAATTTGTGAACAACAGATCAGTGGCGCCTGCATATATGCATTTTGCCATATATAGGCATTTTTCTCAGAAAAAAAAAAAAACGGACAATTACATGCATATTCTAAGCTGAATAATGCTAGTTTTATAGTAAAATTATATTCAAAAGCATAATTTGTATAAAACAAAAACGAATAAGAAACAAAAAATTTTTTGTTCGTAATATGGAGCAGAATTTTTTTTTTCGTTCGTTATATAGAACAATCAATGTAAATATTTTGGGTGTTCGTTATATCGAAAATTCGTAATATCGAGCGTTCGTTATACTGGACGACCACTGTATATGAAATGATTGCATTTAAAAAAAATAAATTTTTATTGTTATTTCTTATTTTATAAGTCATCACCAATAATATATTACTTATTAATTTTTTTCTCAACTATATATAAAGCATCTAAAACCGTTTCCGTTTGATAAGGAAATTACTGACCCTTGTAAAGAGCTACGCTTCGTAGCTGCAGGTAATTCGTTTATAAAATTCTTGATTTCATTCTCGGTAGTTATGAAAGGGCACTTTTTAATTAATTATAAACGTTGATGTAACGCAATTAGTAACTGAAAGCATCAGAAAAACTCCCAACCACACCTTGAAGGGGAATAAATGAACAACTGAAAATTATTAGGTACGCTTAGGTAATACGCATGTCAGTATTAGAATCATCTTATAAATTATTGTAAGGGAAAATACTCCTAATAATTTTGATTTAAAAACAAAAGTATTAAAACGAATTCCCCAATAAATTAATTAAAATTAATTTTAAAACATATCAGTTATACATAATATAGAAAACAAAATAAAAGGAAATATTTATATTTAAAATTTATCTCACACATATATTGAATATTTAAAAAAAGGAACCGTAAGCATTTGGGTTTCAGTGGCTCTGAAGATAAGACCGTACTCTATCTCATGTGTCAATGCTCTTCTTTAGCTAGGAGAAGAACAAAAATTTTCGGGACCCACTTTCTGGCCGAACTGTCATCCTGTAATATTAAGAACCTAGCCAATTTTATAAAACTGTCAGGTTGGTTTTCCGTTACCTAATGGAGTCACCTTTTTCGACGTTGATTGTATACTGATTTTACTCTATGGACGTACCAATGCTATTCCTGTGGTACCACACTGGGCCATTATTTGAGCTCAAGTGGGCTTTTTAGACACAAGGCAGCCACTCCAAGCTACCTACCTACCTTGGAGTTTCATTTTATGTAAAATTGTCACACGTAATAAAGTTTGGACTTACAATGCTTCTAAAATATTTTAATAACTCCAAACGAGAATAATTTCTAATGATATTATATTTATCTGATATCATTTGAGTATGAGTAATACTACATATGTAACACATTATTGAGTTAGTTATACTCTATAACTAATTAATCATTCCTATGTATCTATTTAATAAATTATTAATTCCAGTTTAATATATTTTAACATTCCATATTTAGTAGCAAAAAAATTCTTTTATATAATTTTAATTAATTGAATTTTTGGCTGACCATACAGCTTAGAATTATTTCATATTTTAATAAATATAAAAAATAATTTTTTTAATACTTACTGGAAGTACCAATGGTTGAACCCAAATCCATACATGATTTGTATGTTCGAACTTGGACTTTTGTTAATTTGCTGTGATCTGCACAGCCCTGATTTAAGCAATACACAGTATCAGCTTTAAAGATTTGTGTACATATGTGTCTAAGCAAGCATATAGGAAGATTCTAAATTTCTGACAAATGACAGTCATATAAGACCCGGCACCACTAGGGGCAAAGAAAGTCTCAAAGTATTACAGAGTGTCCAATTATGAAACAGGCACACTTTTAAGACAGGGGGTATACCACTTCATATGCATTTTTTGATTACAACCACGAGTCCTCACATTATATTAAAGAAAGAGATGTGTATTAAGCTTGTCAGATAACTCTTTTTTTGGTTACACCCATGGTAGTCATATTAAATTCCTCACATTATATTAAAGAAAGAAGAATGTATTGAGCTTGCTAACTTCACAAATAATAAAATAAGAAGAGCCGAACAACAGTAGAATATAAACACAAAATATGTAAGAGTTTCTTTAGGTCCGTAATTTATTATCAAAAACATATATAACGATATTGATCTTAATATTATTTTCCATTTTCTACTTATGCTTTGCCTAAGCATAATGTGTGGACCCTTCTTTTACGTTAGCTCAATATATGGAACAAGGTCTGACACATCCCTTAATTTAATAATTCACAATATACACGTAAATATTATTACTCATATATGCGAGTAAATATTTAGAGGTTCACCGTCATTTGTGGACCCTTCTTTTACATTGGGTCAATATATAGAACAAGGTCTCACACATCCCTTGATTTAATAATTCACAATATATACGTAAATACAAATATACGTTATTATAGGCGAGTAAATATTTGGAGGTTTACGAGTATTTGTTTAACGTTTGCTTGCTGTCTGTCTATCCACTTTGCTGGTACGTGACTATGATAGTTTTTACTTAAATTCGCAAACTTAAGAAATGTTAATCAAAGCTTTCATTAAAATCCATCAATAATATTATTTAATATTATTATTAACATAACTACAAATAATATATATCAATAGTTATTAGGCAAAATCATTAGGTTATTAGAAATACGTAATAAAAAGACATTTTTTAATTGAATAGTTATTATTTTATTTATTTCTTCATATATGATTCTCCAACTTTTTCAAGCCCTCTGACTAATATGATTTACCTAAACGTTCGAAAGAAGTCCGGATTAATCTTTTTCATTTATTTAAACTGTTTATATATAACGTACTATTCTATAACTTTTTTTTGTATTATTAATTAAATTAAAAATTTTGTTTATATTACAGATATTGAAACCAAGTTGCAGAATTCTGTGGAGGAAAATATAAATAAAAATGGTTGAGTTCTTATGCAGGAATAGTGCCAAAAAGCAAAAAAGGTCAAAAAGTTATATTTGATTTGATTTGAATCAAATACCCATTTGAACAGGATTTGTATATTTAATATAAAACTTAATATTGCAGAATTGAAAGTCTGTTTCGAATCAATAACTAATTTAATAAAGAAATAAATCTTCAAAAAGCATAAAATTTATATATATGGATATATTTTTCGAAAGATATTTAGGGTAGATACAAATGTAAAAGTAACGCAGTGTATATAAATGAAAACACTTTTCAAATAAGAAATTTCAATTAACTAGTCATTAAAATCGTAATAGAAACAACAATTTAGCAATTATATATATATGTATATATATCTATATATATATACATATGTATTTATGTATATATATATATATAATTTGTTTAAATTTTTATTATAAAAAAAGAAACAAATTTGCATTTATATCCTCATCGTATCGTATATCACACTAGCATAATTGACACTCATTATATTTGATTATTCGAAACGAAACTATTTTAATTATACAAAATGGGTAACAAAAATTCATGTTGCGCTTACTCAAGTCCTCAATCCGATCGTAAAACGAAAGATATGCCTCCAGTTTATGAAGAACGTCATATACATCACACACACTCATCGCAACATCAACTAGATAGCAATATATCCTCAACTGCTGCCATACATCATAGCGCCGGCACGCTTGACAATCCACACAATTTACAACACATCTCGGAGCGAGAAGCTCTCGAGGGTGAAGAAGATCCATCAGTTGATCCCACTGCAGCGACAATGTTCCTTGAACGTTCCAAAATTGAAAATGGTGGCATAACACGTAAGCGTTCGCAACATCAAATCGCTCAACAGGCTGCAAATTCAACAGGATGTGGACTTAAAAAAAGCTCATCATGCTCCACTATTTATCTGGACGATAGTACTGTATCTCAACCTAATCTCAAAAATACTGTAAAATGTGTATCACTCGCCATTTATTATCACATTAAGAATCGTCAATCGGATCGACGACTAAATATATTCGATGAAAAATTACATCCACTGACACATGATCCAGTACCAGATGATTATGATTCGCACAATCCAGAACATCGGCAAATATATAAATTTGTACGTACACTTTTCAATGCAGCGCAATTAACTGCTGAATGCGCTATTATAACCCTAGTCTATCTAGAACGATTGCTTACATATGCTGACCTCGATGTAGCACCTTGTAATTGGAAACGTATGGTTTTAGGTAAAATCTTTATATATAATATATTATAAAAATATTTTTACTTAACTAATATTCAAAAAAATATATATTTACATAGGTGCCATATTGCTCGCCTCAAAAGTCTGGGACGATCAAGCCGTCTGGAACGTTGATTACTGCCAGATTTTAAAAGATATTACAGTTGAGGATATGAATGAGCTCGAAAGGCAATTTCTTGAATTGCTACAATTCAATATAAACGTACCCTCGTCCGTCTATGCCAAATACTATTTCGATTTACGTACATTAGCTGAAGCAAATGATCTCTCCTTTCCCACAGAGCCACTGTCAAAAGAACGCGCCCAAAAACTTGAAGCTATGTCGCGTGTTATGCAAGATAAAGTTACAGCTGAAGCGCTCAAAAACGGTATTAAAAAATGGTCATCTATGGATAACATTAGTCAAGGCGGTCCAAGAAGGAGCGTTGCTATATTATCGTGATTTTTATTAGTGTATTAAGTATATTGAAATGAAAAGGAATTGGATTCAGAAATTAGCCGTCTGAGTGATTAATAGAACGAACCGATGAAAGTTTTATAAGCGGTGTGATAGAATGCACGCAGGTGTGCCAATAATTTATGTAAAGAATGTTCAACATCAATTCTATTTTATGATTATATATATTATTATATATATATGTGTAGATATGAATATGTATATATATGAATATGTATATTTATATTGGGTGTTTCCAATCACATGGCATAAATGTGGAAGATTTTTCTTTAGTCAAAGAAACAAAAAAAAAAAAATCGTATAGGGGGGAGAGTGGATCTGTTTATTTTTAATATTAGTCGATGTATAAAATTTAAAAAAAAAAATACTTTAAAAATAAAACTTTCTAACAAAATCGGCTTATCTTACTAGATACAGTCTATCGACTTAGTTAATATAATAACTAATTGGTTTCATACAATCGGTCGCTTAAGTGAATAATTTAGTCTTTTTTCCGATTAAAACCCACAAATTTATATTTTTTTAATACTCATACGCTCTAGTAAATCTGTGCGTTTTATTGAAAAAACTACCATCGTTTATTGCAAAGACCGATTGTAGAAGAACGGTGCGTTATAGATCAATTTTTTTTCTAAATAATGTGCGTAAGATATAAATTGGTTGAAATATAAAAAAACTAACAAATTTCCAAGAATGTTGATATAAATAAGATTTTCTGAAAAATGATCGAAAGTTTTTAAAAATAAAAATAATTTTTTTTTATTTTATTTTCCAATTTTATTGAACTACATTAACGAATTCAGTAACAGATTATAGGAAACGTATATTAGTTATCCTACCCACCCCTTCCACACAAAATTTTTTTCATGTTTCTGCGGAGAACACCATACATATATACGCATATATAATATATATTGATACTTATAGCATTTATATTATATTGTCATTTAAATATTTAATATAAATAATATATATATGTATAATATTCATATGTGCAATATAATTTTTATATATAATATAAATTAATATATATATTATATATATATTTTTTATATATACTTATATGTTTTTTGTACTAGGCTGCAGAAATATATATTTTATATGAACTGCGTGTGATTTATATTTGAGTATATACATAAATATACAATTTTTGTTGCTTAAATATAACCTGATAATTTATATATGTGAATGTATGAAACTATATGCAATATATATATAGATGTATATATATATATTTATCTATTTGTATTTATATATCTATATACATTTATATGTAATTATATATATTTATATGTAATTATATATATTTATATATAATTATGTATAATATTATATATATTTATACATAATTATATAAATTTATATATAATTATATATATCTATATATATTATATATATTTATATATATTTATATATATCTATATATAATTATATATATATTTATATATCTATATATATATATATATTTATATATATCTATATATATATATATTTGTATATATCTATATATAATATATATATTTATATATATCTATATATAATTATATATATTTATATATATCTATATATAATTATATATATCTATATATAATTATATATATTTATATGTGTATATATCTATATATATATATATATTTGTATATAGTAATAAATATTTATATTTAGTTTTATTTGTTGTATGTGTACTTTTATACATATTTATGAATATATTTGTATAAATATTTGTAAATTATTTATATATCTCGCTTAAGTAATAAACCAGCTTCATATATAAATATACGTATATAAGCATATATAAAATTCATATATGAGTATATAATTAATTTATATTATATTATATGAGTATGTCTAATATATATATATACATATGTTATATATATTTATATATAAATATAATATAAAATATATATCTTTGTTGATATGTATTTGTATTTACACATATATAAATAAGATATTTTTAAGTAACTATAAATTGAACAAAGATTTTTTAAATGCTTTACTTAGAGATAAATGTATTCATGTGTTTATACAGTGCGATTCACTTTAACAAATTCATTCATTGTATGAATGCCATCCGTTTTTTATTTTATTATTAAATAAAGTTGTCTTTGTCTACTTATATAATAAATTTAATTCTAATGAAAATATAAACAAATTGTAATTTTACTAAAAATACCGAAAATACCGAAATACTTGCACAGTAAATAAAGCTGTAATCGGAGCGGTATCTAAAGTGATGTATATATTTAAGTCAATTTAACGTTAGTGAAACGCACAGTACGTACACAGAGTATGCATACACATTAATATGAAATTGATATAATTATGTATAGTGTTATACATAATGTAGTAAAAGGAAAAACTTTCAACTGTCATTATATCATATTCTAAAATTTCCATATAAATTAAAAAAAGATGTTTAGAATTTTTTGTGTTAAATTAAGAGTCGGTGACATATTATACTTCAAATTTAAAATCATTAGAGAAATTGTGTTATAAAATTATCGTTGTTAAATAACTTTAATTTCATATAGAGGTATCAATTTTCCAATATAACGAGCTCTAATATAAAAAATTTTACTGACGTATTAATCATTTAATCAGTGAGGCGACTGCTATACTTTCGAACGTTGAATCTCTTAATGTGATTGAGTAGTGCATATTTAGCAAAATCGAACTACAACGTATTTAATTATTATGTAAACTTTATATAGTATACGCCGAATATAATTAATATCGAAAATATATTGATTGATTTCGACTACTATTGATTCCAGAGTATATATAAAAGCTTAAACGAACTAACGAAATTTGTTATTTAAAACAAAGCTAAAAAGCTTCAGGAATAAGAAGATTGTATAGATCTCTGAGTATAACAAATAAAGACAACAATACATAATCATTGATATAATATCTAATATCAGAGACAACACTGTATTCAATTCATTTATGGAGAATTATGAAAATTTCTCGTCAGTCATTTTCAAAATTTTCAAGACTCTAATATCATTGAATATTATGCATTGAAACTTAAACAATGATATATCAAATTATGTTAAAATTATAATATATACTTTTTACAACGAAGAACTTCCTATACAATTTTTTAAAAATAACGTGTATTTGTTTAATATATACCAGGATACCAAATATAGTTTATGTCAAAGAATCTTTTTAAGACTCAATGCTTTAAGATTTTTCTAAACATCTGAAATTAATAAAGGAAATTAAGAATAATTTATTTTTTAACAACCCATAAAAATGTTGCCAAAATATATTAACCGAATAGAAAAAAATGCATATTTATGTAGACATATATTTGTACTAAGCAAATCTGTAAGAAAGAATAACTTGATAACAGGAATTTGAAATATAAACTTATTAAATTTATGCACTTATTTTTATTAATTATAAATTTGTATCATTAAGCTTACGGCTTCTATTTTAATTAATAATATTTAATTTACAGAAAGCGTAATTAAAAAAATCAATACTTAAATTGTTCTATTTATTCATTCTTCTATCCATCTTCTCTCAGTCTTTAGATTTTTAATTTTATACTATTAAATGTTAAGCTGGATATATCTACATATAAACTATTGCTTTCTGTTTCAAAATGCATAAACTAAATAAAATTAAAGAAGAATATAGTAAAAAAAAATACTAACAAAATTTAAAATTTTTATAAATTTATTTATTGTTTTGCAGTTAAATTTTGTAATAGAGTATTTTCGATATGTAATTATAAATTGATCATTGATATCAAAAAATATTAACAAAGTATTTCCTTATAAAAAGAATTTCTTGTCATCATACCATTGATAAAAAAAAAAAGCCAAAACACTGTTTGATCAAAATTAAATTAAAACATCTTAACCGAAAACTTTATGCTGTACAATTTACGTTTAATAATTTTTTATTTAATTATTGTTAACAAATTTATAAAAAAATTTAAAAAACTAAAATTTATTTTAATTTTTTTAAAAAAAAAACATTTGAACTGACCGCTTTTCCGTACCGATTCAATTAATATAACTGTACCGGTTTTCGCTCCGAGAAAAATATAGAGATTATTCGATTCAGTTCTACTTCGAAAGTCGGCTTTTTTGTTATTAAATTTTGTTAACATTATGGTAATTGAACCTTCTTAGCATATTTTTATATAGATTTTGTTTAAAAAATAGACTAAATATAGCATAAGGCTTATGTGATTTTTATTTCCAAAGCCACATAAATATACCTAATTCTGAATTAAGAATTTTAGTTAAAAAATTACTTCAGTCTTTTTAATTAATTTACTAATAATGCAGTAAACGAATTTCTAACAAAGATCTCTATTAAGCGTTTTTTAACTTATTTCTATATAAAGAACTGGACATCATAATAGGATTTTGATCAAAAATAAGTGAGCCTAGTGATCTAAGATATTATATATACTAAATTCTGAAAAAAAATAGACCTTCAACGATATTCGATGACAAGTTGTTATTTATTATTATAAAATTTATAAGGAAAGGACATGAACTTTGTTCTGTCTTCATAAATCAAGAGATGTCGATCTGTCATAAAAAATCATTTAAAACTTTTAAAAAATTTAAAATTTTTTTATTTTTGTTTAGCATTTGCTTTTCTTTTATATTTTTTGCTATAAAATTGATCATTTTAATATTTTTAATTATTTTATTCTATAAAAATAGTAATATATATTTTTAATTAAATAATATTAATAAAAAATAATAAGTGCATAAATATATTCAAAAAAAATAATCATATATATATGATATACTTCTATATAATATAATATATATGAATTTATATATATATATTTATATATAATATAATATATATTTATATATAATATAATATATATTTATATATAATATAATATATATTTATATATCTATATATATGTGGATCTATATACTAACTCAGAAGTAACGAATTTAAAATATTGTCTCTAACACAGAAATAAATTAAATAATTTGAAATTTATAATTAATTACATGTGTATATTTATTTAGTTTAACAAAAAACATTTAGTAAAACAAAACCAACATAAAAAAAATTTGTGATCAATGAATTAGTTTTGTTTATTTGTATATAATTTAAAAAAAAAAAGCTTCCTAAATTAGTCAAAATTATTTTATTTAATAGAAATATATAAATCAAAATATAATACATTTTTATTTATTATAAAAAATTATTTATATTTCTTTTGCTTGCATTGCATTTTTAAATTTAATTTAATAAGCTGCTTGTAAACAAAGCGAAATATATGTTTTATATATATAAGTAGAATATTACTAAATATATATTTAAATTAAAAATTGAAAACTACAAAAACACTTGAAGCACCATTTTTAAAATTTAAGATATTTTATTTTTGATTGCATTTTATATAAAAACTGTCTGTTTACAAAAATAGCAATAAAAATTATAACTTAAATAAATTGTGGCGTTATTTACATATACATAAAATAATTTTTAAATAATTAAAGAAAAAAAAATTATAAATTAACCAAAAATCGATCGTAATTAGTAGTATGAACTTTACCTTAAGTTCAAAAAATAATTACTAAAGAAAAAATTAAACAGATTGCAATATTTGTAAAATTATTAAAAAAAAATATAAAATAAAAACGAAAAATTAGTAACGCAATATTTTATAATTTATAATTTATTTTATATTAATAAAAAAAAATTTAAAAATAAAAAGAAAAATTTTATTTGTATTTGGTTTAAAAATGTTTATGTTGAAGCTATTTAAGCCCGTGCACTTAAGCACTTTTACTCTTTCTTAAATCGAGGTATTTTCAAAACCCCTCTTTACGTCTTGACTGGATTATCATCACTTCATCAGACTAAGCAATAATTGACCTTAGATCTGACTATCTCCCCGAGGAGCCTGTAACCATTCTGAGATTTGATAACGCGGTGTTGGTAAGTCTGTTAATATAAAAAGAATCATAAAATTGGATTTAAGTCCAATTAAATTTGCAAATTAAATTCCTTTCAAATATTTGATCTTGTAGAGTTGTGATTATTTATAAATATGAAAGAAGCCTTCCTCGTGTAGGAAGAACAGTCCAAACCTAATTGGAGTCACGTACGAGATAAGAGCACTTGCTAAATACTAACTTTCATGTATAAATACATCAATTCGCAATATGTTCCCCAACTGCAGCACAACTCCTTATAACATATAACCTCTACCATCTGCTTTCCTACCCAAATTCACACACTAAATTAAGCTCTATTTATTTATGGCATCGCTTCATGTTGTTAAAATTCGCTGAGATATGCTTGTAAAATACCATCGCCCATGTAAATGGCACTTTATCATCGTGGTTAACGAGTGGCTTCGGGACGTAGACCCTGAAACCGGGTCTTCACTTCATTTCAATGACTTATTTCTCACTCCATTAAACGTCACATATCTCGGTTACTTTTGTATTCGTATATATCTGTAGCTCACCATTTTGACTAACAAAAAATCTAATTAAACAAAATTAATTAATTAAATCTTTTATGATCCACAAAGAATTTTTTTATTTTATATATTGTTATTTGTTTATATACTGTCAAAAATGTCACAGGATCATTAGTTTGGTAGTAGTGGGGATAAGTCACCAAGGAAAAGTATTTTATTATAGCATCGAAATCAACCTCGTCGTTAAGGCATACATCATACAAGAAAAATATATACACATATAGTGTGAAAATAACAAACAATGAAATAAACAATAATTATTCTAAAAAATATAATAGTTTTTATTCATTTTTAATTTTATAAATGTTTAAAATATGCAAAATTAACAATTACAATCTTAATAATTAAAACGATAAACGATAAAAAAACAAATAAAATATCTGTTGGCACACCTCTATTGTCTTGACCAATTGTATTTTATTTCAATTGTTAGAATATGAGGCGCATATGCACATGCTTTGCAAGGCATTGTAAAGAATAATCGCAGTAAAAAACAACTACACACGGCTTCATCCTTTGTAGGATTCCGTAATTTGCGCACTACAGTTTCCAGTTACTCAGTGATAGAACCAATGTGCTTCATTTAATATAATCAATACCAGTAATATGTTTATCTTAATATCTATATGAATTTAGCATGATTAATAATTGTTATACAATATATTTAAAATCAAATATTTATGTTTATCCAATATTATCTGAGATAAATGGTTTATCTACATTACAAAATAAAAAAAAAACACATTTAACAATCGTTAGAGTAGTATATAATTAAACACAATAATTTTAAACGGATTACATTAATTATCCATTTCGACATTTCACAAAATATATATTAATTTATTGATTCAAAACATATGATTTTGTTATTTTTAATGCTTCTTTACGCACGGTAATTCATAAAGGATGAGCTGAAATTGAAATGTAAACAGTATAAGTGTTTAAGAAGTTTTAAATTTATTTACTGATTTTCAACTTACCCGCCGAATGCTGGTTTCGGAGGATTATTCTGTGTTGCTTGAGCTAAATTGCCAAAGGATAATCCGGAATCCGATGCTCCCAATGTTTCGAATAAATTATTTTTTTGTGGTCCACCGAATGCATTGGCAGTTGGCGAAGTGGCTGGTGGAGAACCAAATGAACTAAATGGTTTGGGGCTGCCGAAAGTGGCTGCACCTCCAAAACTAGGTTGTGTGCCAAAAGCTGGTGGACTACCAAACGCAGTAGTATTACCAAATACTGGTTTAGCAAAAGCAGATGATTGTTGTGGCGAACCGAACCCTGTTTGGGACACTGATGCTCCGCCTTGTGCAAATGAGCTGCCTGTATTCGTTGAACCAAAAGCCGATGCCCCAGTATTTTGGCTACTAAACGAACCAAATCCCATACCAGTATTTGGGGAACCGAATGTGCTAGCAGTACCACCACTACTAGAATTAGCGAACAATGTTGACATGTTGTTCGCAGGAGCGTTACCAAATAATGAGCCGCCAGTACTAAAACCAGTCGGTGGAGATTGGCTTATTGCGCCACTACTTGCAAATATATTACCAGTCATTGGTTTATTACTTTGACCAAATTGTCCGAACAGCGGTCCAGTTCCATGATTATCGCTTGATTGGGTTCCGCCACTAAAAATATTACCACCTTCAGCGGGTTTATTTGCAGCTGCTGCAAACACGCTGCCGGTATTTGAACTGGTTTCTTGATTACCGAAAACATTTACTGGCTGTTGAGTATTTCCAAATAAATTACCACCTGTAGAAACTCCAAATGGTGACGAGTCTTTTTTGGGTGGTGAAAAAATGCCACCAGTACTTGTATTACTCGTTGGTAAAGTTGCAGCTGGGGGAGAGAAGAGACCACTCGGTACAGTTGACAATGCACTACTACCGAACAAAGATGATTCTGTTTTTGGTACATTTCCGAATAACGAAGTCACTGGCATTGGTATTGGAGTACTGAAAAGTGAACCAGTACCACCAAAAGCTGTACCCGAGCCGCCAAAGAGTGAACCAGTTGTCGTTGCTGTTGTAGCAGTACTTAAATTTGATTTACTAACCGCTGTAGCTGCTGTAGTTGTTGCGGTCGTATTTGCCCCAGCGACTGTAAATAAGGGTGCATTAAAACTTGTTGCTGGTATGTTAGTCTGTACAGTTTTTGTTTCTGGTGTGCTAGCATCCCCCAAACCACTTAGGGAAGAGAAAGCTGGTATAGGCGTGCCTGAACTGATTGCAGCTGTGACATTCGGAGATGTAGTGGTGGTATTGGCGGTGCTCTTTATCACATTGGAACTAGTAACTGTAGCACTGAAAAGATTTGCAGGCTGTGGTGATGCTGCGGAAGTTGCTAATGCTGGCGCTATTGCTGGGGGAATTGTCGTTAGAGTTGTTACTGGCTTTTGCATTGTGGATAATTTTTGGGTTGGAGCAGGTTTTGGCGTTGGAGATATAATTGGAATTGTTGCTGGTATTGTAGATGGTATAACTCCGGCTGGTGGTATTGTTGGTGTCATTCCGGCTGTTGCAGCAGTCTTTGCGATGGGTGCGGCTTTTACGGTTGGAGTAGTTTTAGTTGCTGTGATTGTTGTTGTTACTAACGTTGCTATAGGCGCTGTTGTTGTTATAGTTGTTGTAGCAGTGGAAACCTGAGTTTGTCCTGTTACTGCTTGTGGCTTACTGAAACTACTACCAGCTGCATCAAACGAAAATGTTGAAGTCGGTGGATTAAGAGAATTAAAAAATAAAGAGCTACCAGTATTGGATCCTAATCCCGCAAATAAATTTCCAGTCAACCCTGCTGTGGTTGCGGCAACTGTAGTGCCTATAAATAAAACAAATACAATTATAATCACAAATACAAATAGTAGCTTTACAAATAGTAAAATATTATGATTTAATATGCGAAACGTATAACGTATTTAATAGAGCAAAACGTATAACTCTCGACATAACACTCGTATAACGCCAGATATTTGGCTAGAGTAGCAAGATTACCTTGAATTACAAGCTGTTTTGTAAAATAAAATAAAAAATAAAGTGTGATTTGTTTTGATTTGATTTATGTATTTATGGAAAATATAAATGCCTACTAATTTAATTACAAAAATGTTAGTTTATTCTAAAAATGTTTGGGCAACTAAACTTGGTGTTCGAGAGCAATGAAAAAGTAATATGAAATGAGCACATCAACATGTTGTGAATGTTAGTCTGTCACCCAAAAACTTGCGAAACACACTTATACCGTGCGTAAACACCCCTATTCTTCAAAAAATTTTGTTGAATGAGAACTCTTGAATGTGAGCATGTACAAGTTCGGTTGCTAGAATTAATTTAAACAAGAGAGAACGCAACTTGAATGACATTCAAAAATGAGAGTTAACACCGCGCTTTACTTTTAATTATGTTTATGCAGATTTACATAGCAGCGATTTAACTAGTTTAAGCGGCGATTTCGGGTAATGCAATGCAAATCTATATCTTCGTAAACACAATTTAAAAGTTATTAATAACCTACCAATAAACTCGATCGTGAACAAAACTCTAAATGAATTAACAAACAATAGTGACAACTGTAGATTTAACGATAATAGTTCCAGGTTGAATTCAGCAATACATAAAGTATTGCTGAATTGCCCATTGCAAAAGTATGGTCTATGATAATAATACATATTTTTATCATTATTGTTTCTTACCTGTTTCTTTAGTTGTTGGTTTACATATATTCAAGTTACTCAATAGTGCATCGCTTGGATCGGAGACCGGAGTAGGCGACTGAGTTGTAGAAATTTCGGGAGGTGTTTTTACTGAACCAAATCTAGAAAAAACGAATTGCAATTTTAAATTTTAATAAACTTTAACATTCAATTTTATGTATAAGTGTTTCATTTTTAACTATACATACGAAATAAAACCTCCTTTCGGATCAGCTGTAATAGTAGTGCCACTTCCGGTAAATATTAGTGACTTTGTAGTAGGTGAAATTTCAGCAGCTACTGTCACTAAAATTGGATTAGATGATTTTAAAATTGTGTTGCTAGGCGCATTTGGTGCAGGAGCAAAGCTAAAACCGCTTGCAACTGTTGTCGTTATCGTTGGTTTTATAAGCGTATTGTTAGACGCATTTGGTGGAGGAGCAAAGCTAAAACCGGCTGTAACTGTTGTCGTTGGTTTTATAGGCATATTGTTAGACGCGTTTGGTGCAGGAGCAAAGCTAAAACCGCCTGCAACTGTTGTCGTCGTTGCCGTTGGTTTTATAGGCATATTGTTAGATGCATTTGGTGAAGGAGCAAAACTAAAACCACTTGCAACTGTTGTCGTTGGCTTTATAGGCATATTGTTAGACGCATTTGGTGCAGGAGCAAAGCTAAAACCGCCTGAAGCTGTTGTTGTTGGTTTTATAATCGTGTTGTTTGACGAATTTTGTGGAAGAACAAAGCTAAAACCGCCTGAAGGTGTTGTTGTAGATGTTGTCATCACTGGAGTCACGCTTGACAGACCAAATGTTGAGGCTGGTTTAGTTTTATCTCCTAAAAAGCTGAAATTTGCAGATGTAGCTGTATCTGCGTTCTTAATCTCAGTTTTATTGGCAACAGGAACAACAGTTGGCTGTGTAGCTGTGGGAGCTACTAATGGTTGACCCATATGTGCTTCACTTGCCTCGCCACCAACAACTTTAGCCACAAAAGATAAAGACTGCAAATCTTTGCGTGGTTCTACCTTATTTGGTGTTGCTTTTGGTTGAACCAATAACGGGTTAGTTGTGGCGCTAATTCCGCCACTACTTGTGGGAGGTACGTGAAATCCTGAAAAGTTCATCATACCCGCATTAGAAGGAAATACAGCAATTGGTCTTGCTGGTTCATCGCTTTTAACAGCAGCAGCTGTTTTGACAAATGGACTTGTACCACCAAAATTAAAGCCACTCGTTGATGTTTGTCCAACTGGAGCAAAAACAGTTTGTGTTGGTATCATAACTGGTTTGGTGGCTGTTGGTTTCGCTAAATGTGTATGTGACGGCTCTATATTTTTTTGTGGCAGCATTTGTTGCTGCATTTTCTCAATATTTGTAGATGCACCATCACGTATCGGTGGCAGATTACGTATTCTTGCTTCAAGTATAGCGTGCGAGTTAATGTCAGAACGTTTAATGCGCTTTGATTTAATTTGTTTTGTCACTTGTACTTTATTTTTTAATGAAGTATTTAAAGCGACTCTTCTATTTTTCGGAGAAATATGAAGACTGTATTTGGGTGGAGGAGCTTTCGCATTTTTACCAAGTATGGATTTAGCAAGAATATCCAATGTGCTGAAAAAATAATATATAAATGATATTAAAAATAACTACTCAAATTAGTTATTAAAAATTAATAATCTATAAATCTAATGTTTTACTAATTTAATAATACAGTAAGTTATTATTTGTATACGAATATATGTTATTCGCATAATATAGTATACGTGATATGTTTTTATTGTGGCATTAGGAAAAGTTATATTTATTGCTTAAATTTTACAGAGAATATTCTTTGCGAATGTAAATTAATTCACAGACCTAAAGCAGACTTACAGTTGAAGAACGTAAAATTGATTCTCATCAAGCTAACCAAAATATACATATATATATTAATATTATATATATATTATATTTATATTATATATATTATATATATAATTTTTGATACAACTTTCAGAGTATTTAACCAAAATTCTTAATAAACTGAAAATATTTCTCACTCTATTTTCTGAATATATGCGAGTAATGTATTTTAAATTAAATACTTCTTTTCAACTTGATTGTTGAAAAAATAATAATATAATAATCTTTTTTTACTTTCTTTATACAAAAAAAACATTAATCCAGAAAACATGCTACTTTACCGTTTCTATAAATTTAGAGTAAACAAGTAGCAACAATTTAAAGGCGATGAGTTGATGACTCCATATAACCGTTTCTCCTAATTTATAGAAACAGTTTACAATTACTAAAGAAAGGCAGTGGCGGATTAATACGATTGTGTTACTTGCGAAGATACAAAAGAGTTTTATCAATATATATGGCAATTTATCAATGAAAATAAAAATAGTGATGATATTGAAATAGTGATGATATTAAATATATTAAATAAAAACCATCCTTGATGCCTCTTTCAATATGTAACAATAATTTTAGGGCAATCGGTTAATGAATTCAATTGCTAAACAATTTTCCCGAACAATTTTTCTCAAATAAAATGTACATCTCAACGAAAAAGGTTCCATCGATACAATATTAATAATATATTGTTGGTTTTTATAAAAACAAATTTAAATCTAGAAACTATTGACTATGTTATGAGATACTTATTTTTGCATACAAAATATAAATTAAATAATTTCATTAAATCAATTGATAAAAACTAGTACTAACCTCGCATCTTCTGTTTTATTTAAGTCTATTCTTTTTCTAGGACGAGTTGATTTTTGTCTGATGCCAAGAGACTGTAGAACTGTCTTTAAATAATCAATTTTTTTCATGTTGCGATTTGAAATATTAACCAATTTCGATAAACGCTGGAAAATTGGATTTAAACGAGGTGCAGTAATTTCTTTAGGCATATCACTGCGTAATAAATCTTGATACAAAATCCACTGTTTATCCAATTCTAATTCAGCTTTTCTCATCAAAATTTTGTTGCTTTTGATTTGTTCATCTGCTTTATTAACTAAACGAAGGTTATATTTGTCGAATCCCAACAGTGGTCGCATACTTTTAATACTAAAATTTGAAAGAATATATTTATTAATAGGTATTTTTTTGATTTTTACACATATACTTACTCTGAATGTTTGGAGAGTAAGACATTAGCATTTATTTCTTCCAAAATAGCGTACATATCAATGATACCGTGTCGTAAATGACGAATTTCTTGTTGGAAATCTTTTGTGTCAGCCTCTTTTATACTTTTTTCTAAATCCAACAAAGTTAGGGTGTCATTTCTGAACTCTTTTGGATCACCGAGCTAAATATATAGTATATAAATATTATGATTAAGATTTAAGTACTGAGTAAAAAAAATTGTAAATTTGTATTTAATTAGTCCTTCAAATGACGAAAGTTTCTTTAGATACGATTTTTATAGATTTTATTAATTTATTTCACGACTGTAAAAACAAGCAGTAACATAAGGATTGATATTAAAATATACAGAACAAAACAAAGTAAATCCAGATTAAACAGATTACAGCTTCGAAATATAAGACCGCATAGTTAAAAGTAGTTGGATTGAAGCTGATAAAGTAAAAGTGCAGATAAACGTTTCGATTGTACTTTTTAGAATAATTAAATAAACAGATTAATTGTAGATTGAAACGAAGATTTAACATACTAATAATAAAGAAAACTTAAAACAAAAATCGTAATAAGTTCTGTATAAATTTAGTAAATGTTGTTTTATATATAATAAAAAAAATAAATAAATAAAAAAATTGTTTTTGTCAGTAGTTTTGATAAAAATTTATATAAAATGGTTCACTTACCTCTTCTGCAACGTTAATTGGTTTCACCAATGCTCTTTGAATTTCTCTATCAAAATCCATAATGTCCAAATAAACAACATGTTTTCTCATCTCTTCAAAATCTGGAAAATTCTTTCCGTTGTCATAAGAACTTTTGCGTCTTGAACCATCATTATTACCAGTGGGTGTGAAATCTGATGAAACTGTATATAAAGCTTTCGGCGGTTCCGTTGACGCCTTATTAATAACAGTGCCCAATGGAATGTTTGGTTTTACTGCCATTAAATTTGATTGTTTAACTGTAAAAATGTTGTATTATTAAATAAATGAAAATAATTGGAAATAAAAAAATTAAAATAAATAAATTAAAACAAATAAATTAAAACAAATAAATGAAAATAAATAAATTAAAATAAATAAATGAAAATACATAGAAATCAATAAATGAAAATAAATAAATGAGATTCAAACAAAATAAAGAAATAAGACATTGAAAAAATATATTATATTTTTAATACATAATTAAAATGTCAAAACTCCGTGTGACTAGTAGTAATTCAATAAACGATACTTGAGGGAATAATATTTATTTAAAAAAAAAAAATTAATAAAATTATAAATAACCATTATTAGGCAATGATTAGACTTAAGCAATATAGTACAATGGCATCCCTAAATTCTTATTGCAACGATTACATTTATGAGTACTGAAATAGGACTATAGTTTATATTATGGTTCCATTTAGAAACTAGTCGACATATTTCAACTAAGAGTTGCATATTACTTTCATCAAAATTGCATAGTAGAGTAATCATATTAATCAAAATTAATCTATTATTAAAAAAAAATATTCGTTATTGTAGTTCACTACTTTTCGAGACCTCTCTGTTAACCAGAATAAAATAATAAATATCTTAAATCTGTTTCGTTATTTTATATCATATATTCATTGAACAATTAAATAGTTTACACTGCCTCTCAATTAATATGAATCAAACAGGAAAGCAATAAGAAGTATAATAAGAACTACAATAAGAACTGCAATAAAAATTACAATAATAATTAGAATCCTTACTCAATAGAAGGGCAAAGAACGACTTAAACGTAAACAAATTAAAATCGTATAAAATATTGAGTAAGAATGAATGCTGTTTATATAGACAAAACAAATTTACTTCACAGCCATAAAGAGGAGTTGGAGCAAGAAGTACTGAACTGCATTTAACTGTTTAAAGTGACTACAGTGATAAATTAATTTATGAACACATAGTGATTTTATAATCTATACTCACACTTTGACAAACCGTCGGTTTTATTTTGAATTGTCTGTGCCATCGGATTTGGCACACCAAACGATGGTATATTTGAAAATGGTTGATTAGTAACATTTGTAAAAGTTGGAACTGGTTTTGGTTTCTGAAATTAAAACAATTTTATTAATAACTATTTAAGTATTTTTAAGTTATAATTATTACTGGACTTGGCGTAGAAGTTGATTCGATTTTATTAAAACTAAACGTTTCGTAAGATGAGACATGTGGTGTTGTTGCCATTGTTTGTGGTAAAGCAGCTGTTTGTGGTATAACAGGTGTTTTTTGTGGAGCAAAACCTCCTATTTGTGGTGTAATAGTAGACATTTGTGGTTGATGAACCAATGGTTGTGTCGCGGTAATTTCCTCCTTAACAGATTTCTTACGATAGTCTTCGACTTTAAGTAGAGAAAATTTTGCTGATGAATCTGATTTTGGTGGCGGAGGGGAACATAAGCTAGCTGCTTCTGGCAACAAATTTATAAAATTATAAGTCTGAAGTACTCCATGTGTTGTTAATATATGTATCATAGGCATAGGTGTTATTTCAGTTTCTTTAATTGTTAATCTATGTTTACTAGCTGTGTCCACAGAAAAACCAATTGCATATTGATCACTATGATCTTCTGTTAAAGGTAATGAAATGCGTGCTTCATCTGCACAACTATATGCAATCCAATTAGGAGTATCATTTTTTTCGACTGTGCCTAATACGCCCAATTCCACACCATTTGCTGAGAGAATCAGCAACAAATTCCAGTATGAAATGTGTGTTAGCATGAACCTATGTTTGCGAGGACCATCACTGCTATAGCACACATCATAAAAATCTTTGTAATTAATTTCAGCTCCTTTTGGAGCATTCACGATAACAACGTGTGGAAAAGCATTTTCGCTTTTCGCCAATAATACAACAGCAAATTGATATGTTGAAAGCCAACAAACACTTAAAGTATCAAAAGGACTCTCTAATACTTTAGGTGGAAGAACTATTGTACGAGACGCTGTTAAATCTGGTTTATATTGTTGCAGTTTGCCATTTGCAAATGCTAATACGATTTGTTTTCCCTTAGGTGACCAAGAACCACATTGTGTTCCAAGAGCTTTATCCAAAGTTTTAATATCAAATTGGCCGTCATCTTTAAGTGTGTACATGCCAACAGCGCCATTATTTAAAATTACAGCCAAGCAATGACTAATAACTGGATTCCATAATAGTTCAGTAACCTCAGTATTTTCATCAGCCGACAAACGTATAGTGCAAATGCTAGTAACGTTCTATGAAAAAAGAGAGAGAAACAATTATTAAACAATTATGCCAAAATTTTTTAAAGAAAAAACACACAACAGGGCATATACAAATAATTTTTTATATAATGTTAAATAATTTGTTTCAATAACCTTGTTAGATCGTTTCAAAAACAGAATTATAATGATTAATTGAATAGATAATTGTATAACAATAGTTGTAAAGAAGCAAACTACTAAGGACAGCATATGATACCCATCCCCTTTTCTTATGCTACCTAAATCACTAACGCGGTTTATCTTGTTGTTGTAGCCCATGGGGATCTGCTTGTAATATTCATTTAGGGGGTACCAAACGGTACTAGCTCGTCAAAATTGACGTATAGCACCAGGACGCATATCAAGCCGTTCTTGGAACCCATTTTGTCATTATTTTATGTGCTTGCTTTCTAGGGCTCAATGTACTATCACAATTGTAACACAGACATTGTAGGAATATAAGTGATAACTTTTGATAAAGCTGATATATAGAGAAATATATCGAGTTCGAATACTGCCTATTCATAGATTACAAGCAACCGTTTTTGTTTTTGCGATTTATAATTACTCATAAAGCGCCTCAATGCTGCAATAAATAAATAATATTGGAAACATAATAATAATCAAATATCAACTGACTTTCTTTCGACTTGCTTATTTAATCTTGTATGTCACTTTTAGTTTAGATTTAACTTGAAAGAAACCGCCAATAGTCATCACAAGTCATTTTAACTATGTGGATATGTCAACAAACTGATTGTTATCTAGAAAACATTATTTACACAAATGTTTTAGAAAATAAAAATATGGAAGATTATGATATATTGAAATCTTGCAGAAGCGCAAGATACTCTACCAATTACTCACATATAAGGAAGTTATTAGATATTTTGATATATTGTACACTAGAAATAAAGATTTTGTTAGCATAGGTTTAAAACCGCTAAAGCATAACAGTGACGTAGGCCTAGCTTACTTATTACTGTGTAACGACTATACATTGGCATAATAAATAACAAAAAGATATTGATTGAAATAATTAAAAAGAAAGTTTAAAGATATTAAGCAACAAACATTGCAAATACAATGTATGTCACCAATGGAAGTTGAATAAGATAAAACACATATATTGCTGGAAGATTATACATCAATTTGAGGTTCTTAATATAGTGCAACAGTATATCAGTATATGCAATAATAATAACGAATAATAATGATAACTAATAATAAATATAATAATACATATAATAAAATATAATAATACATATAATAAAATATAACAATAAATATAGTAAAATATAATAACAATAATATTCATTGTCGTTACACAAGAAAAGGTATGGTTTGGCATTGGTAAATAATACATTAATAGCACTTACTAATGAAGAAAGTGGTTCAATAAAAATAAGTATAAACCAAAAGAAATATATATATACGTATATAAGGAACATAAGAATTGTTAGATAATATAAAATTGTATATTGCTTCCTGTGATATGATTTTCCATTGTTGTAGAAAATGTATGAACTTATATAAACAAACATCAGGTTTATAAAATATTTACCGGCGTGAAAAATGATTGACTGCTATAAATTTGTAGAAATGGTGAACCATTCAAATTGTAGGCAATGGCCAAGAAGTTTCCATCTGCATTGCATGATAAAGCTGTAATAGGTGATGATAAATCTAAAACACGCGTTTTCAACGCAGAATTATCATATTTTGCATCCACGAGGTCATTATGTTTGAAAACTGTAATTATTTAAAAACATTATATATTAAGATCGCATATGATGAAATTAAAAAAAAGTTAGATAAAGCTGTGTGTGTAATATTTAGTTTAAAGCAACAAACACTTACCATTTAATCGAGCTGCATATGGATTGCCGGCAAAAATTAGCCCATAAGTGCTAGCAGCTGTCAAAAAATGTACGCCAACCGTAGATGGTACCGAATTGATATCAAATATCTTGAATTCATTATGCGATTTAAATTGTACATCCTGTAAAATATAATTATTTTATATGCGAAAAAGAAATAAAAACACTTAAAAATTTTACTTGCAAGTCCCTAACACTATCTTGCATTTTGCCACCTTTAACTTAAACGTTAACACTAATCCCACGTATAGAATAGCCAATATTTCAATATAACAAAATTTCTCAAATAATTTATGAATTATTATAATTTATTAAACGTAACAACGGGAAACAACAAATCCTAGGCAACAATTTTATACGCCAAGCAATATAATTTCATACTGCAAAAGAGCGGCTTACTTATTAAATAAAAATATTTGACATATAAGAAGCGCTACCAGAATGGAAAATTATACAATTGTATGTCACTTTTGTTGAAAGAGATTCAGGGTTGTATTCTTCTATCAAAAATATTAATATTTATGAGAATACACGGATCACGTCGACAATCAATAAGAAAAAATATAAAAATATCAAAATATAATAATTCAATGAAATGAATTAAAAATAAAATCAAATAAAAAATCAAATAAAAAAATGAAATACTTTAAAATATTATTAGCTTTCATATTTTGTTTGTTTTTAAAATTATGCTATATTGATTTAATTATATCTAATATTCTTATATTAAATGTACGATCAACTAATATGATAATAGCCATAATTTTTTCTTTAAGAGTTGTAAAACAATAACGTTAGGTTAAGTTAAAAGAAATTGGCATCACTTTTAAAATATTGCAAATGCCTGTTTTTGACATAAGTTTTTTTTGTGTTGCGTACAATACGAATTATAAAATTAAAACACTAAAAATTAATTTATATAAACATAAGAAAACAAAATTAGTATTAGAAAGGCAACTGTAATTATTTTTATATAAAATATTTAGGCCTTGTGCGAGTTCGAGTATATTGATGTAATTTTTATCTAATATATCCTATTTGAAATTCTGGTTCTGGTCACACACGGCCTTAAATTCATTTATTTAGTTATGCGTCTAAATTTATTATTAAATGAAATGCTCATATGTCTTTAAAGGATGACTGGAATTTTGCAACATATTTGCAGTGAACATTCACAATTGACTGATTTTTATATTCAGGCTACAATAAAAATTAAGACGTGAGATTTTTTCGAGTAAAACCGAACTCTAAAGATTTTAAAAGCATTGTTGTTGTTTTACATGTTTTCTTTTAAAAGTTGCGAGTATTTTTTTGCTACTCCGAAAAAAATTACGGCTAATATAAGTTTTAGAGACACGTAAACATTTTAAAATGAATTTTACTTAGAAGTAATAAAAGCCGTTAAACAGTAATTTTAGTGAGAAATATTACTTCTAAGATTTTTATATATACCTTAAAAGCAGTTTAAAACTTCGCTTGCTACTTGTTGAGATCACTTTTGATTGTTGAGATCTGTTTTAAAATTGATCTTAAGGCTTCCGCATTTTTTTTATAATGTGGTTTTCTTGTTCATACTTTTACAATTAAACGATATATATAATCAAATGTAAGAACAACTTATAATAAATAGTACTATAAATACCATAAAAATACCATAAAATTATTTGATTCTGTATTTATTTGATTCTGTAACTAAATAAGTAGCACATTATGAGTAAATTAAATTTATAAATTGCTATATAAGCAGGCCTAAAAAATAACTTATGCAATATATTTTAATTAGTATTGTATTTGTTTATTTAGTTTTAAGTTAACAGTAAAATTAATTTTAAAGTTAACTAAGCATAAGAAGCTGGACTACTAGCTCCTTCGCAATTTTTTTTAAATTAATATATGTTTACAGATTGTATCAGCTGATTGTTGGAGAGTTTTGCATTCGTAATTATACTAGTACTTGAGTATTAATTTCATTTTTAAGTTTGATGAAATGTGTAAAAAGGTGTAAGAAAAACAAGTCTCATCACATTATTTTAATGGAAATACAACTAGAGAAATATAATGTGTTTGTGTAATCAGAAATTAATTAGCTATAATAAAGTTTTGGAACTAAATTTTTTTAATGGTTATATGCAAAAAAAAATTAGAAGATTCAGTTCATAAATCTAACAGAAAATGTGATATTATTTATATTAAGTGTGGTACATAAGTTATTTTATTGTTATATTTTGCTGTTTTGTCGCCACCCAATGGGGTGTCCCATGTCACAATAATCGATATTTCTACTTTTTATTTTGCAACAACTTCCATTGAACACACCCAAAATGACATGTACTCATTTTATTTCACAACATAATCATTTTATTTTAAATTGTATATTAGTGATTAATATTAATGTACAATTAGGACTGATTAATTTCAAAAATATGGTTTCCTGATTATGTAAAGTATTGTAAAGTATATTGTGTAAACCATCTTTGCAAGCAATTGTTGTGTACAGTGAAAACACATGAGTACACAGACCAAAAACAGAAAACAATAACAATATGACCAACACGTCATACTTTTTATCGTTTTCGTTTTGATGCAAATTTCTTTATTTAAAATTTTAAACCAATCAGCAGTTACCAAATCTGTACTAGTTGAAAATGATTGGAATGGAGTAATTAACAAAAACAAAACGTCTGATTCTATAATAATTATGTAAATATATGTTTTATTTATTTTGCTTTGTTTTTCACATTCTTTAGGTCAGCTAAATTGTAGTTTGTTCTGCTATCAGTTTTTCTCTCAGCAAACAAACGGTTGATTATTATGAGAGCGCTATGTTCGGCATAAGTTGGCTCTGCTAGTTTTCATCATATCAATGAATATTCTATAAAGACACTTGCAATAAGAGCAAAAATTAAAGTAAAATATCTAAACAAGATTTCGATTAAACAAAAAAATTTCTTTTTGTATCATGTTAACTTTCTACCTTAACTAGTGTCAAATAATAACACGGCGTATTGTTATTATTACATCCTAATTCCTACTCATTAATCGATTATTTTACATAATTAGTAACTGAAGCAAATAAAATAATAACAGTAAGAATTCATATAAAGAAAGAAAGAAAACTTATAATGCAGATAATAACATAGTCAGCGAAAACTGAGTAGTATGCATATATAATTTTTAGTTGAAAGAAGTTAAACAAATCTTAAACGTGCATAATATAATTTATTTATTACATTCAACTATAATGGATTCCATATCACTGCTTCCGTTAGAATATCTAATAGATATCATGACTAAACATCATTAGTCCACTTGTGGGTAGAATTTACAGGATATATTTTGGCAATTGGAGCTGACATATTTTATTAATGACAAAAATCACAGTATTTTAATAAATTTGTTATTTTTTTTTAAAATATACAAGAAATTATTAAAATCTAAATAAAATAAAACACTATGAGAATAAATTTAGTTCGACAATGGCATAAGTACATATAATTTTATATAAAGGAGATATGCGTCAAGTTCCACGTGTGAAGCGTATATTATATACTCCACTCTCTTGTAAATAAAGTTTACGAATTACGAAATTTACGAAATACCGTTTACATATATAGTATGTATGATAAGGACGCTTATCATACATATCACATTAATTTTAAAGCTTTATTTGTTTTTTTTATAATTTTTCTATGTCATTAGTGTAGTTTAGTGCATATACTACATATTTTATAAATATACTGAATGTATTTAAGGTTTTGAATTAGGCCATTATAATAAGTTAACATTAATTAGAAGGATTTATTTGTTTTTTATAGATTTTTCATACTTAATAGTGTAATATAATGGATTTTGATTGAAAAGGACAATGAAATTACAATGTATATATATAGTAAAATTGGTTTAAGGCTTGTGTTTAATTAATTAAAATTAATTGACACTACTGTACAAATTTTACTTTATTTTTAAATGATTTATTATTATTAGTGTAACGTGGTGGATTTTCATAGAAAAGGATAGTGGGGTAATAACATAATATTTCGTAAAACCGGTTTTAGCGATATATGGTAAATATAATATAGTAATATTAATTATATATTAATATATAGTTAAATTAGTTTAAGTTATTTGTTTAATTAATTAAAATTAATTGATATTAATGTAAAAATTTTACTTCATTTTTAAATAATTTCTTATTATTAGTGTAACATAGTGGATTTTCGTAGAAAAGGATAGTAGGGTAATAACATAATATTTCGTAAAATCGGTTTTTTAGCGATTTTTTTAGTATATAATTTGTTGTTGTTGCTTGGTGGCTTTTTAAATGATATGGTCTATATTAATTGAAAAATTTATAAATGAATTGTTTTGATTACAAAAAATTTTAATTTTGTTGTCTTTTTACCGTCTAATTGGTCCGTAAAAGAAGATGGATCAATTAGCTCGAAAAAAAAATAAAATTATTATTGAAAAGTTTAAGTGATTAAATTTTTTTTTAATTCAATTCGTTATTGTCACTTGTAGCGCACCAAATTTTGCTCGTTCCTTACGCTTGGACGAAGAGAGTGCTAAGCAGAGTGCGAAGAGTGCTTCTCTCCTGTCTGTGTTGTTGGTGATATGGTTTGGCTTGTCCGATTTATTTTCATTAGTATTCTTTAAAAAGGAAAAGCAAGAACCATACAAGTTCGATAGAAATTAATCAGAAAAATTTCGTTTTCCCAAATGTTGGATCCGAAAAACGTAGTAATGCTTGACAAAATATAAATAAATTTTTATTTTTTGAAACGAATAAAGTTTTCAGATAATAAACGAAATGTATTAAAGCGAATTGAAAATAAAAAGTAATTATTTATTTTGGAAGTGCCTGTAAAAGAAAAGAAAAAAGAAAAAAATCATAAGATTGTTCAAGGGAAGTTGAACAAAAAAATAACATAGTTTAACGAAAATCAAGAGAGTATCTAAATAATATTAAAATTAAAAATTAGGAATTAAAAAGAAAAAAAGTCAATGAAAAAAAATTGCGACTTGAAAGTTAAAAATATTTATTACTTGTTTTTGTTTGATAATAAAAACGAATTTATTATAAATCTAACAGAATTTATATACAACGAAACAGTTTGCATCAAATTGTGAGCGCAGGGGTCAAAGTGTTCTTTTTTGTAATACACAATAAAACAATAACAATTTGACTACGACGATAAACACAACAAAAAAAACAAAAAAAACAAAAAACAAAATTAGGTGAATTTTCTAACGACAATGGATAAGCCCACTACGTCGACTTCATCATCGTCCGCAGTGGCTGTTGCAGATGGAGCAAGTGCTGCAGCGAGCAGCAAAGTTACAGCAACATCTGCCGCAACAACCACCACAGTCAATAGCAATGTGACAAGTGTTAAACTCTTAATTAAGGTATATAAAACAAAACAAAAAAAAAAAAAAGAAATAAAATAAAATAAAATAAAATTAGTAAAAATTAATTTAAACAATTTTCTATTATTTTTATATATTTTCCATGACCAAAGGCCTCAAATCAACTACACGATGATCAAGTTGTTGAGAGTGATTTACTTTGGACTGTACAACGTCTTAAGATGCAATTGTCTTTGGTTTACCCAAGCCAGCCGGTAAGAGTGTACAAAAGTGCTTATATGTGCATATGAACTAATGTTGATATGTGTACCAATTTATATACGCATATATATCTGAAAACATCTTAAAATATTAAAATAGTTATTATAGTTAACTATACAATATAATAATGGGCACATTTTTAAGTTGAATTGCTTGCCTCGTCAACCGCAACCGCAACCATATGCAAAATACCCATACCTCCCTCGTATGTTGTGTGCGGTGCTGGCAGTGTCATAGATATCTGTGTATCCTTTTGCGAATATGTATGTACATACATATATACATAATTACGTGTATACATAAACTAATGCCAACTATGTACATGTGTGTACAGTAAGTCGTCAGTACGACGTGTTCAAATAAATAATTGTTTTTGCTTCTCATATATCGATAAAAAAGGAAATAAATATTTTATAAACTCAAAATGAGATTGATTATTCTTGATATTATATTATATGAGAATAATATATGACATAGTATATATGCATATATACACAAGTTCACATTTACATATATTAAAATATATTTTTGCATTTATAATGAACCAACGAACGAACGAACTGACGAATCAATAGCAGAACAAGGTCAATGTGTTTGATCCCTAAAAACTAATATATAATATATGTATGTATATGTAAAGAAAATTGGGTGCAAGTGCACTGACAGCTTGATCTGACCCACTGAGCATTTTTAAACTGAAATTTTATAGTTCATTCATATATAACTAACTACCATATATGTATTATGTTGGACACATCTTTAAGTCATGTTTAGGTCGCATAAACAATTTTTGAAGAGCATAGAAAGTTAATGCGTGGGCTATTAGAAAGTGGTTGGTTTTAGTGGTTGGTTGATTGGTTGCAGTGTCAGGCCATTAGATAACTTCCATGTACCTCAATTAACGAATTTTCGCCGTTTTGCTACCAAATTCCTTGCCAGAACCCTAGTATAGAAGAGTAGAGCCTAAATCCATCCCGCCGAATTTAGATAATTCAATAGGTCTTTCGTCTTCACCGATGAACAGTCTGATAAACTATTAAAAATGTATTTTCCTAAGAACCTATATCTTCTGGACGCCAAAGCCGGGTATTCACAGTAAAAATGTATTATGGTTTCTTTCTTCTTGTGGGTTTCCACAACTTCTGCAGTGCGGATTATGAGAAATTCGCACTTTCTCTGCGTGGGTTCCTATACACCAATGACCACAGAGAACTGCAGTAAGCCTTGTAGTGTTTACGTGGCCACTTTTGATGAATTTCGACGATCTATTTTTATTATAGGTGGGAAAAGTTTTACTCATAGCTATGTTGTTACCTGCAACAGATCTATCAAGCAGATAACATGAAAGAAATAAGAAAGTTTTCAGAGGTAACTTTTTTGACAAACAAGAGTAGAGCTGATGAAGATGTTCGGATGCTCGGATCAATAAAGCGAAAGCCGCGTTCAGCAAACTGAACTGAACTGAATATATGGCGATCCAGTGAACTCAGGAGGCAGACCAAATTGCGAATGTTCAACACAAATGTGAAATTTATCTTGTACTACGGTTGTGAAACATGAAAGCACTCCAGATATATAGAGAGAAACATACGAGTGTTTGTCAACAAGTGTATATGTAGAAATTTACAAATATGGTAACCAGATCGAATATTAAATGAACGTTTGCTAAACTAAACGACTCAAAAAATAGCACAAAATGAGATAGAATGAGAATATGGATATACCATAGGCTTAAACAACCAAACGATAATATAGCGAAGCAAGCGTTGGTATGAAATCCACAAACAGTAGCAGAAGACCTGGTGAAAACGTGAAGAAAAACGGTCGAAAGTGAGCTAGCTGAAGCACGATATACATCTACAACGACATCTGCGACATCTAATCCATAAAGAATGGATTACGGATGGGTTGGTTTTGAAAAGACTTATACTTGGGTTAAGATATGGATATGTGATAATAGTATGAGAAGGAAGGGGATTGTTTGGAAGTAGAAATGCAATGGGAATGGTTGGGAAATTAAAATCTGTCTGGGTTAAGCTGGAGAAACCTAAGCATTTCAATGAGAGCTCTTAAATTGAACTATACCAGTTCAAAGTGTTAGAAAAAAAATCCCAGTCCATTCTTATTCCTAAATACTTCATATCAATGAAGACATATCAACATCTGTGGTTTAGAATCTGTGGTATCAGATTTCTAAATGGGTGCTGAACTGAAAAACTCCAAAACCAAACTATTATTACTTTATTATACATCGACGAATTCTAGTTGAATTGAAGTATATAACATTTAAATGTTAATATTTAATCAACAAAATGAAATGGTAATATTTACATTTTTAAATTAAAATTGAAAAATGTTGAGACTAAATATGAATGACACCAATTATACTATGATAATTCTCGAACTGCTAAAGTGAACTACTTTAGAAATTTTAGAGTTTTTTTTATCTTATTGCTTCACCCGTTTATAGAAATGCCTAAGAGATTATATTTTTGTTTTGAAGTCAACAAACATGACATCTGTTGTGTTGACAGTTTTCGCATGCTTTCCAAAATACGATCAAACGAAACGCCTACAGTTTTAGTAAAAATTTTAATATTTATTTGACCATCATTGAGTCGCAATGCTGCTGCGCGCTATGTTCTTCAATATCGGCAAACTGCTGATTACCGATTGTGTCAGTAAAATTGTTGTGTGAATGCCACTTAAATCTAGATCCCAGAATCGCAATTAAGTCTGTGGTTTTGTTTTTTCTGTTTTTGTTGGGAGAGATGTAGGGCACTTGGTGTAATTATATCAAAAATGAATATGGGTAACTTTGGAACATGGACTCGAGCCCTTCAGAAATCAAAGTGTTTTGTCTATGTCAAAGTTTCAAGAACATATAGGTATAGAGAAAACTTTTTTTTTGTATTTTATATTACAGTTTTATAAATTATATATATAAATCATATATTTGGATTAAGTAGTAAAATTTTAGTGATATTTATATTACTAAATTGTATGTGTGATTGTCGATAAAAAAATTATTCTGTTTACATCATCACTTTTAATTGTTAGTTGTTTTTTTCTTTGTTTTATTATTGTTGACTGTTGCTTGAACATCACAAGCCTCTGCTCTTCAAATTGCAAATGAAGCTTAATTAAGTCAAATCAATTTAATAATAATACTTGGTTTCTCGATCGTACTATGTGTAATGCAAAGTTTGTATTTCTATACAAATATAGATTATTTTATAAAAGTAGAAATTTTACATGGTTATATGATCACATGTGGTATGTTTTTGTTTTAATATGTTAATTAATTCAATGAACTTATGACGATTAAAACTTAAAAACTACAATTTAGTTACTTTGTAGATATTTAAGTACTGTTATATATTAGATAAAATCGAGAAGTTGGCTATAGTTTTGTAAATTGTAAGCTATACAATATATTTATAATTTTAAACCTAATACCAGGAGTGATGGAGAATTCTATATAATATATCTCTCGCTACTCTCATTTCCTTTATAACAACAGCACTGATTAAAATCCGCTTCCGAAGCTTTAAAAATTAACTGTTAAACATGGGATTTAGATAAATGTATTGTATGTAGATATATATAACTACTAATTACTAATTGCTAATTGCTTAGAGTTTGATTGGCTCAAAGTATTGCACAGGCTATAGTTTATACACATAAGTACGAACACATAATATACCATACCCATGTACATAAAATTAGAATATATAAACAAAAACAAAAGAGGACGAAACTGAACGTAAATTAATTAATTACATCCTAAAAGTACGGACCTAAACGGATCTAGAGGGAGCGAGAAGATAGATAGAGATGAGAAGTAGATAGAGAGAGAGAGGTATATTGAAAGAGAGATTGGGGGAGAGGTTGAGGGAAAGAAAGAAGAAGGTGGAGAGAGAGAAGCACATGGAGAGAGAGAAGAACATGGAGAGAGAGAAGAACATGGAGAGAGAGAAGAACATGGAGAGAGAGAAGAACATGGAGGGAGAGAAGAACATGGAGAGAGAGAAGAACATGGAGAGAGAGAAGAACATGGAGAGAGAGAAGAACATGGAGAGAGAGAAGAACATGGAGAGAGAGAAGAACATGGAGAGAGAGAAGAACATGGAGAGAGAGAAGAACATGGAGAGAGAGAAGAACATGGAGAGAGAGAAGAACATGAAGAGAGAGAAGAACATGGAGAGAGAGAAGAAGATGGAGAGAGAGTGATAGATAGAGAGAAGGAGGAATATAGAAAGAAAGAGGAAGAAAGATAGAGAGGGAGGAAGATAGAGAGATAGAGTAAGATAGGGAGATAGAGGATGATAAAAAGATAGAGGAAGGTAGAGAGAAAGGGAAGAGAAAATAGAGAGGTAGTTAGAGCGAGAGGTAGATAGAGAAAAAAAGAGGGTGCGAACAAAATTGTTTATAATTAGAAGGCAAAGGTTTCATAAGTCTTGCATCAACTTAAATTGTGAAGCATTTTTAAGTTTTAGGTCTTTTATGTCATATTTTATGGTAAAATGTGTTTACAATACACAATATAATTATATAGTTGTGGGTAAATTGTATCCGTTCTTTACGATCATTATCGACTTATGGGTTATATAGCTATTGAATAATGTTGTATTTCCATATAGCTTGTTTAATAGTTCTTAAGCTTCAAGAACCATTGATAGAAGGTACGTAATAGGATATCTGTTTTGTGAAACTGTTTGGTTACTAAAGAAAAAAACTTAACAGAACCGAAAGTATTGGGTGATATGATGAATTTTTAGTTGGAGTGAAATTATGCAATACTTCCAGTTTGAAAAAGTATCCACAATTGTTTCTCAATGTTGTGATTTATTTTTTATTTTGTTTTTATATTATATTCCGTTTGAAGTCTTTTATTTATAGTATTCCGCTCTTTATATTTGTTTTTTTTTTTTTTTTAAGCTTTGCTGTGCCGCCTGTCCCTCTTATCTTATCTGGCTTTAATGTTTATTTT